TTTGACAGCTCCATTGTTTCCTATGGGGGAGAAAAAAATTCAGCAAAAATTAACGAAAAGTCAGATCAAAGCCAAATTAAGTTTTCACCCGTTTTAGAAGGTGCTCTAACGAATCCAAGATTTTAGAACCGTTTCTGACCATTTTAAGACACTTTTTAAAATGAAAAAACAAACATCGCTATGTGAAGCAGGGGACCTAAAAACACATTCGCTATGCGAAGCATGGTCCCATAGGAAACATTGTTAAATGGTGCATATTATTTTCTTTAAAAAAACATCGTTATGCGAATTCATCGCTAAACGAGGCACTCGTTAAGCGAGGCACCACTGTAATAATAATTAATCATCATCATCATCATCATCCACAACCTTATAACTGCAGGGCTTGGAAGGGACCCTATGGATCATTGAGTCCAGCCCCTCTCAAGGAGGCACAGTGGGGAATCGAACTCCCAACCTCTGGCTTTGCAGCTAAAGACCTAAACCACTGAGCTATCCAGCAGTTCTTCCCCAGATTACATATCCACTGGACATTATGGTCCAGAAAAATCACTTTTCCAAATTCTTTTGGGTTGTTTTTTTTTTTAAAGTAAAAAATGCTGTACATTGTTGTTACTCGTCAAGGAGTTTTACCTGTTCTCTCTGGAGCTTGTTTTTAGACAAGCAGCACATATACAGAAGAGATAAGTCTCCAGATGCTGTGGAAGTGCTAGTAAATTGTCCTGGAGCCTTTTTGAACAGGATTTTTCTGCAATCTGTTTCTGTGAACATCCAAATAAGGCATTTAAAATATCAACAGGGTGAAACGTGTTCCCATTTTAATGATGAGTTTTACTCCAAAGCTCTTAGACATTTAATTCAGACAATTTCTGTAGACGACAATGCAAACTGGCCCTGGGGTATTTTGCCTGATAGAGCAAAAACAACCCCTTTTGCCCCATGCCTGTCAAGACCTATGGTACCTAAATCCAGCCAGGAATCATAAAATCCCATAAGCACCTTAAATTTTTTTTATGCTGCTACTGCTTCTTAGTCCTTTTTAAAAATAGCTGATTGCTTGTATTACGTTTTTCTGTTTTCCTTACATTTTGTTCTGTTTTTGTTCCCCTTTTCTATTTTGTTTTGCATCTATTTTTTGCAGGAAGCCTTCTTGAATATTTTAGGGAGGGATCATTAATGCCAACAACAACTAAATTAAATAAGGTCTCTAGCAAAAGGAGCGAGTGCCGACAGCTTTGGGTAGATGTTGGTGCACGGGTGGGGGACAGAGTCTAGACTACCACCCACAAGTTGTCCCTAGAATCCGATTCTGGCTTCCCATATACCCCATGGCAACCCTCTATATGTTCCAAATGTCTGTGTGCCTGTGTTTTAAAGCTTTTAACAGGTCCTCCACCCCTTGTGGGTGTGGGAGGCATTTTTACCAGACTTAAAAAATATGGGCAGAAACCAACATGACTTTTGAGGACTTCCACTTTTGAAAAAGACTTCACATGCACTTCAAAAACCCTCAAACGTATTTTAAAAAACAGGTGAAGTTCCCTTCATGTCTTTAGATTGTGTGGGGTGTCTTTTTTTTCCAAAATAAGGGGTTCAAATGGCTCTCCAAGGTTCAGTTATGGTTTTCTGTGGCCCATGGATTTCTGGAAGTTATCCATCTCTGCCTTAGCCCTGCCTTGTGTCTTTGGCCAATAGATCTGTTAGTATGGTTGTTGTGGATTTTTCGGGCTCTTTGGCCGTGTTCTGAAGGTTGTTCTTCCTGACGTTTCACCAGTCTCCAGCATCTTCAGAGGACTGGAGTAACTCTGTCTATGCTCTGTTGCTGTTTGTTGGATAGTTTAGTATTTATAGCTGTGGGAACAGCTGTTGTCTTTTTTTAAGGAGATAGGGTGATCAGCATGTTTTTTGTTGTGATAAGGGGGGGAGATTATCTGTCACTGTGATTGATGGGTGTCGTTAGCTGGTCTTTTTTGTACAATGATGCCTGGCCCCATGGCCCTTGTGGCTGGGTAGAGTTCGTTGACCTTTTGCAGGCTGTATTTTTGCAGCCTGAAAAACCCACAACAACCATTAGATCCTGGCCGTGAAAGCCTTCCTGAATATCTGTTAGTATGTTCCTCAAACAAACAATCTAGTATTTGTTTGACCTTTTTCACCCAGTGTGGAGGAATTACTCTTAATAATTCCCCTTCTCCACCTTCTCCTCCCCCCTTCCTCCTTCTACCTTACAGGGTGCTGCCTTGAAGTATTTACCCAGTATCATCAATGACGTCAAGCTGGTTTTTGATCCCGCTGAACTCAGGTAGCTATAACAATGTTGTTGTTGTTGTTTTGCCAGCCCTTTCTGCCTGATGGGGAAACAACAAGGAAAATTTGGTGGGACAAGTTCCAAGCTATACAAATGGGAATTGTTACTGTTGAAAAAGCAGAGTGATAGCCAGATGTCAATAGAAACCACCCCCACTCCCATTGGATGGAAATCCAAGATGCAGCTTGAAAACTGAAGGGCAAGCTTTTAGCTGTGTGGCTGCATTAACAATTCCCGGTGAAGAAGCTTTATGCCATTCTACAGCTGGAATTACATTGGAAATGGCATGACCCAAGTCATGTCCATTGTGCCACAGAGACTTAGCCAGTCTCTTTTGATCTTGGAACCTAAGCAGGGTCCGGGCTGGTTAATATGTGGATGAGAGACCAACAAACAATATGTGAGGCTGCAGACAGGAAAGGCTGTTCAGGGAAATGCTCAGTGGTGGAGCATATGTTTTTCATGCAACAGGTTCAAATTTCACAACATCTCAAGTAGAACTAGGAAAACTGCAGCCTGAAACTCAGAAGAGCTTCTGCCAGTCAGTTGACAACACAGGGGCAGAAGCATCAAAAGTCTAAGAAGCTTGCCTGGTAATGAACAGGTGGGCTTCCGAGCAGGATCCTCAATGCTCAATCACTCGCTCCCTCTCGCATTTCTGGCTGAGAAATATTATCTTCATTTCCATGGCAAGCTTTTTGTTGTCTTTATTGACCTTCAAGGAGTGTTTGACTCCATCAATCAATCCCTGCTCTGGAATAAACTGGCCAGCAAAGGAACAGGCTCTTGCCTGCTGTTCTTGGTACATAAATTTCACTCTGACAATAGTTGCCAAATATGGATCAATAATAAAGGTCTTCTGACCAAAGATATCTCAATCTCTGAAGGAGCTAAACGAGGCTATGTCCCCTTGCTCCTGCTCTTTTTTAATTTATTCATGTCAGATCTACCAGACCATATTCCCATAATTGAACATCATGCTCCTAGGATAAACTCATCTTCTGTTCCATTGCTATTGTATGCCAATGATACTGTCCTCTTATCTACCACTAAGTCAGGCCTTATACAATTACTCCCAGTTTTTGCTGATTTCTGCTCCAAGAATGACCTTACCATCAAATCAAAGATCTTGATATTCTCCAAATCTTGGAAACCTACCACCTGGAAAATAAATAGGAAGGCAATAGAACAAGTGAAATGTTTCAATATTTTGGCTTATTGTTTCGCTACAAATTAAACTGGTTTTACCATCTTAAGGTGGCGGTTTCTTTGACTATGAATCAACTTTCTACATTAGTCTGCTTCCATTTCCATAGTGGACATCAGTATGTCCCTGCTGCTGTCCAGGTTTTCCAAGTGAAAATCACTAACCAGCTCCTCTTTGTGGTCCCTGTTTGGATTACGGCGGCCAACTACGAGATATCAACAATCATCAATTACCGCCATTCATTCACATCAGCTCTCATGACTGTTTATGGATCTTGCTGTTTTTACTATGTATATTTTTGTTTTACATTGGTTTATGTGTGTCCTGGTTGATTGGTTGTCTGGCTGTTGGTTAGAAAGCTACACTGGGAAAGAGTTTGACGGGCAAAGTAGAAATCTCCACTGTAAAATCTGTAACTTGGAGACCTGCTGAAATCATTAATGGAACAAAACCATTCTCCTCTCCCCACCTGCTCGGCTTCCAGTGTTCTCTTTAGCAAATTCATCCAAAGCATCCCAGATAACCAACTCGTCCGTCAGAAGCTCAACTGCATGACAAAGATTGTCGACAGTGATCTGTTCCGTCAAGCTGGTGAGTCTCCACCCAACCAACCACCTTTTCCCTCTTGCTTCAGTTTTTAATTATTCTGGCTAATATCTTGACACATGGGGTGCAAGCTGGCGAAAGAGCAGAGTTCAGGGAAATTTGTTCTTTGGACTACACCTCCCAGAATCCCCTGAGAGTTACAATGAAAAAACTGAGACAAGAACTGAGTTGGATGAAACCTAAGGCCCAATTATCCTCTATCCTGTATTCCTACAATAGGCAGCCAGACACTTCTGAGAAGCCACTAGCAGGACATTGATTCTAGTTTTGTTTTAGGGACCAACAATGAGTGTCAAGATATATATGTTCTCAAGAGTGAAAGGGTAGCTTTATGATAATACATAGTGGACTGTTTTCAGTTATTTTGCATCTCTAACCATTTCTGGAAGGGATTTAAATTATTTTCCATAATATATTCTCGAAGGCTTTCATGGCCAGGATCTGATGCTTGTTGTGGGTTTTTCAGGCTCTTTGGCCGTGTTCTGAAGGTTGTTCTTCCTGGCGTTTCGCCAGTCTCTGTGGCCGGCATCTTCAGAGGACAGGAGTAGGAACTCTGTCCATGCTCTGTTGCTGTTTGTTGAGTATTTATAGCTGTGGGAACTGCACAGTTCCCACAGCTAACTAACCCACAGTTAGACTGCACAGGGAAGCCATTGAAATCCATAAACATCAACAGAATTTCAACAAAAAAGAAGAAGGCCTAAAACTGAACAAGGCCTGGCTTACAATACTGAATATTACAGCCTGCAAAAGGTCAATGAATTCTACCCAGCCACAAGGAGCAGAGATCATTACACAAAAAAGACTAGCTAACGACACCCCTCAATTACAGTGACAGATAATCTCTCCCTCCTTATCACAACAAAAACACGCTGATTACCCTATATCCTGAGAAAGACAAAAGCTGTTGGATCGTTGAGCTATAAATACTCAACTATCCAACAAACAGCAACAGAGCATGGACAGAGTTCCTACTCCAGTCCTCTGAAGATGCTGGCTACAGAGACTGGCGAAAGGTCAGGAAGAACAACCTTCAGAATATTTTCCGTAATGTTTTCCTCTTCGTGAGAAATTTATTTTGGGGGGAAATGGTTGATGAATCAGTAGATCAACCATTTTCTGATCTCCATTGCCTGATTTATTAATCCTCCGAAATATTTCCCCCTTATGTTTCCCAGAATGCCGGGATGTCCTCCTGCCCCTCCTTGTAGACCAGTTAAGTGGGCAGCTGGATGATAATTCCACCAAACCCGATCATGAAGCCTGTTCACAACTTCTTAGCAATATTCTGGAGGTCTTGGACCGAAAGGATGTGGTGAGTGTCTACATGGTTGTAATGGAGCCGCAAAGAATTTTATATAATGGGCAGGAAAATGAGTAGGCCACAAGACATTACTGAATTACAGTTCCCATCATTCCTCATTATTGACTGTGATTTATGGGATTTGTAGTCTACCAGTCTCTGGAGAGCTACACTTTTCCTACCTCTACTGTTTAGGTCCTGAGAACAGCTGGAGCAATCACATATTTTGCATTCCTGGCTCTGATAACTCATGGGATGTAGTTACTAGACTGTTCTATTTTTCTTTCATTTTGCTTTGCAGCCTAAGGTGAAATACAGTTCTAAATATATTGGCTGAAATCCTGTTGCGTAACTAACATCTGTGGGAAAATGATGACTTCATTTGGCTCTCTCCTTCTTTCATACATCTTGTCCAACTTGAAAGTAATCTGCTTCATGGCATAGAAGCCATAAGTGCTGTGGGACAGAAGGAGGAGGTCTTTCATTACTGAATATGTCCATTACAAGATGACATTATTGGAAGGAAGAGATTAAAAGATGTTCTCCTTCCTTCCTGTGGCTTCCATAGCTCCTACACAAAGAATCAGTTTACTCACAAGGTGCAGGAAAGAATTTAATTTTAATTACTGAAAATCACTCTTTGGCAGTAATGTCATCCCACTTTTGCGGGTGTAAGGTCTCAACAGGATTATAGCCATTTTCTGCTTGATCCTTCTTGCCCCTAAGCAAAGGCCCAGTGTTCATTTGGTCAATACATTTCAGTTCTTTATACACGCATGCACGCATATATACATTAGGCCAGAATACAACAACTGGGTTGGTTTGTACCTTTATCGCACCATTAAATTCTCAAAAGAGTGACTCACTTTTGAGTCCTGTGGGACTGATAATCCATCTGGGCATTGCAGAGTTGTGACAGGAGGGGAGAGACAGAAGAGTTCACCCAAATCGTCTTGGCCAAATATTCAAACTGAAGTGAGTTCTAAAATGGAAAGTGCAGCTTTTTAGAGGCAGTTTATGGTATGCGGTTTCATCTCAGGAAATGTAGATTTAATTGTCTTTCTCCATCTTGAGAACCTCTCTGTTCCTCCCCATGCTGTGTAATGTGCAGCCTGATCTAGAGTCAGCCAGATTTACCTCACGGGTGGTTGATCTAAGGATAAAATGGGGAGGAAAGGTGGAATACAGTGGTGCCTTGCTTAACAATGATAATCCGTTCCAGGAAAATTGCCGTTAAGTGAGGGGAAAAAAACACTGAAATGCATTGAAACCTGTTCAATGCTTTCCAATGGGGTAAAAACTCACCGTCCAGCAAAGATCCTCCATACGGCAGCTATTTTCGCTGCCTGTATAGCGAAGAATCTGTCCCTAAACACAGCGGGGAGCCACTTTAATTACCCGGTGGCCATTTTGAAACCACCGATCAGCTGTTAGAAAAATGTCGTTTTGCGAAGAATCGGTTCCCGAAGCAGGGAACCGATCATCGCAAAGCGAAATTCCCCCATTTAGACCATTGTTTTGCGATCGCAAAAAGATCGTCATTAAGCAGATTCGTCGTAATGCGGGGCAATTGTAAAACGAGGCACCACTGTATAAATGTGCCTGTATATGACAAGACCGTGGTCATGGGGAGGCGTAGGGGAACAGGAAAAGGCTGACATGTTGTTGAAGTTGTGAATTCTGTGTGATTCAGAACTGCACAATGAAAATAAGGGAGGAGGGGTTTGCAGCTCTTCAAATCAGCTTTATGAAGTGATCTGATTCCTGTGAGAGGTATTGTGCTATGAGTCTCTCTCAACACATTGCATTCATTTCATCCCCTCAGGGTCCGACTACAGCTCACATCCAGTTGATTATGGAGCGGCTGCTGAGGAGAATAAACCGAACGGTCATTGGAATGAGCAGACAGTCGCCTCACATGGTGCGTGCCCTTCCCACAACCTTGCTTTTTGTTTTGTTTTGGCGTGTGCACCCCATGCTGTAGCATTTGGGTGTTGTGGAATCTCGCCTTCTGAAAGCTTCCTTCAACTTCTTGTCCACCAGCCTACTTGCACATTTTATACTATCTGGTATGCCAGAACTTAGCTGAGATAGTTTCCTCCGTAAAATCCAACCATTGATATTAAAGTCCTACCAAACGGCAATCATTTCATCGTGTAGATAAACACTATTATAGGTGTGTGATGCAGAATGTACCTGCACTGTGCCATTATGGCAGTTTGATATGATTTTACTTTCATGGGTTCGTCCTATAAAATCCTGGGATTTGCCATTTTGTTGAAGTGTTCAGAATTCACTACTGTAGTTTGGAAGAGTGAGCTAAAGCTCTCTAACAGGAAATTATAAGCAACTCACCAAATGGCAAAATCAGGGCTTGACAGAATGGAGCAGAGACAGTGAAAGTCCCATAAAACTGCTATAACAGTCCAGAGTAGGTGTCTTCTCAGTATAGACAGGAAATGTTTGGTCCTAAACCATGTTGAACTGAATTCGGTGCATCTCTTCTGCATGTCCAGGCTGATACTTTACCCTCTAATCACTGCAAGAAAAGTGGGGGATTTATCACATAGTGCATGAACGTCTTGGATCATTTTATCATGCTAGGGTTGTCGGAACAGGAATGGTGTAAGCATGCAACAGATAAACTGACAACATGTTGAAAATGAGCCTGAGGGTATCTACATCACGGAGAAACAGATTTCTGGTGGAAATGTTGAAGATTTTTTTCTTCTTCAGTGAATATAAAGCCATCTTTCTATAACTTTTGTTGGCTTCCTGATGTGTCTTAGACTGCAACTGCCATCCTCCCGTGTTGTTGGGTTGGCAGAAATTGTAGTCCAAGGCATCTGGAAAGCAACCAGGTTTGGGGAGTCTGACGGAGAACAGGTATTTTCTAAGGTTGGGGATGTGATAGCTGCAGATGCCTCTGCTTTCAGAACCAATCTATATAGCCCCAAGCATCTTAAGAACCTAGGTTGGATTAGACCAGTGGGTCCCAACCTGGGGTCTCTGGATGTTCTTGGATGACAACTCCTGGAAATCCTGGCCAGTACAGCTAGTGGTGAAGGCTCCTGGGGGGCTTAGTCCAAGAACATCTGGGTTACCCAAGGTCGGGAAACCAATGAATTAGACCAATGGATCTTTTCATCCACCATTTCCGTGCATGGGGCACTTGGGTGTCTCTAACAAGCCAACAACCTGGATCTTAGATCCTGTCCATTGGATCCTTTTGCTTGCCTGTACAGTTGTTTATCAGACCCTTCTGGCAAAAGGAAATGGAAAAGGGATATTTGTGTTTCATCTTGTTCCCTTCTTGTTCCCAGGGTAGTTTTGTAGCCTGCATGACAGCCATCTTGAGACAAATGGAGGACTCCCATTACAACCACTACATCAACACCTTCAAAACCAGACAAGACCTTATTGTAAGTTTGAATTTGGACATGTTGCATGGAGAGGCCATGAGGAAGTCCACTCTGCTTTGTAGTCCAAAAATAAACATTTTCCCATCGCTGCACAGAGAAGCATATGTGCTACAATTGTAGAATAGCACTGGAAAATCACACAAGGTGGCAGTTGCCCCTTTCCTGTGAATCTCAGATTTCATGGATTTTTTTTTCCCTAAGTGAGATTTCAACTCCTTTCCAACTGTGTAAATGTTCTTGGAAATAGAAAGTCAAACCTGATGAAACTTCTGAAGCTAGAAGGGGTGACTAAGGAAGGCTTGTAAAATTGAGAGATTGAGTTTTCAGCATCTTTTGAAAGGGGAATATCTCTGCTGTGAGCAGCTGGGCTAGACTAAGCTTTGTGGCTCAGTGGCAGACCCACCTGCTTTTGGGTGTAGAAGTTTTCAAATTCAGACCTGCAGCCATCCAAAGCAAGCACTGCCCACCTTGAAATAGTGTGTCCAGATAGACGGTAGCTGCTTACATTGCTTTCTGCTCTTTTCCGCTGAGCAAACTCAGAAGAAATTGTGCAAAATGCTGCACATTGAGTTCAGTTCATGTAAACTGAAATAAAATATCAATATGCCAATTAGAAGCTGTGTTATTGAGACAAATGAACAAATGTGACAGGTAGAAGGCAGTTTTCCTAAAGCTGGGATCTATTTATGGCCTTTAATCTGATGGAGTACAGTAGTGCCTCGCATAACGATTACCTTGGTAAATGACAAAACTGCTTCACGATGACGTTTTTGCAATCGGTTTTGCAATCGCAAAATGATGGTCTAAATAGGGTTTTTTCGCTTTGCGATATCGGTTCTCTGCTTCGGGAACCGATTCTTTGCAAAACGATGTTTTTTTAACAGCTGACCGGCGGTTTCAAAATGGCCGCTGGGTAGTTAAAATGACTCCCCGCTGTGTTTAGGGACAGATTCCCCACTTTACAGGCAGCGAAAATGGCTGCCCTATGGAGGATCTTCGCTGGACGGTGAGTTTTCAGCCCATTGGAATGGATTGAACCGGTTTCAGTGCATTTCAATGGGCTTTTTTGTTTCGCAAGACAATGTTTTCGTAAGACAGCGATTTTCGCAGAACGAATTAACATCATCTTGCGAGGCACCACTGTACCTCAAGATAATGCGATTGCCTTTCCTGTTCCCAGCTGGTGCTTTCAAAAGCTTCTGGAAGCAAGAAGTAGGAAAGCACCTCAGGGTGGAATCAAGCTTGATTCCAAGCAAAATCTAGTGGAATCTGGTGATGTTAGGGGCCATGACTGTGGAGAGCTATGAGTAGGGCAGTTAGCTCTAGTTAAACAGCCCACTTCCCCATGTAACTGGGGAACATCCAGTGTTAGTTACATCCAGATGGAGACCTATTGAAAGGATGGAACTTCTCAAAAGTGTTGACTTAGAATTCACCTGTGGAGGCACTGGGACCCCCTTCAATGGGGAGTAGCACTTGGATTTAGGCCTTGATTCCCTGGAAAATGGGGGTCTAGACACACAAACACTTGCTTTTGCTGGCATCTGCTCAGAGTAATCAAAGCCCACACCATGACATAAAAAAAATCTATAAGCAGAGGGTTGGAAGACTCTTCAGAAACTGGCATTTGTTTAGTTTGGTCAGGAAGAGAAAAGGAGAAGGAAAGGAGGAGTGACATCTTCTACAGTGTGGAAAACTGCCAGGAACGTCGAAGGCTTTGGCTTTATTTGGTCCTAAGGGGAAGCTGGCAACTAAAGCTGGGTTGATGTCCAGAAACACAGATGTGCATTTATTACGACACCCATTCGCAACCAAATCCCGGAGGCCGTTTGGAACTTAAGTGATATATTTTGCAGGTTTTTGTTTCAGAATTTCCACACCTACTTTGGGTTGCTCTTATGCTGCTTTGGTGCTGATGATCTCAGTAAATAGGGTAAAAAGAAGAGGGTAAAGGAGCCAAAGCCGCCTATAAAGATGTCTGATGGCTTCAGATTACCTACCCTGCCAAATCAGTGCTTAAATTCAGTGACAATATCTGGATCCATCAGGATTGGCCATACCATTAAGCAGAGAGAGCTGCTTCAGGCAGGAGTGTTGTTAGTTATTCATTCCATTATGATTCAGCTCTTACTGTAGATACCCAATGTGGTGTCATGGACAGAATGCTGGACTAGGTCTCTAGAGGCCTGGGTTCAAATTCTTACTCAGCCATGGAAACTCACTGAGAGTGTGGAACTGATAAAACCACTCCTTAAATATCTCATTTGCCTTGAAAGCCCTATTAGGGTTCTTTTAAGTCAGTTCCAGAACAGAACAAGTAGCTTTTACTGTGATGTAGATGGCAAGACATGTTTGAGAGATTTTATGCACCATGTCCTCCACAAAAACCCTTGGTTGGCTTTCAGTAGCGTGTTGGGTTTCAGTACCACACAGCCAATGCGTTTTGGCTCTCCATTAACTCCAGCCAGAGGGTAAGACAAAAAATACAATGAATGCTCTGTTAACGCAGTACATACCAAAGCACGCACAAGGAATATTACAGGTAGAATAGCCATGGCACCATGCAAAATTACTCATCCTCTTTTTGGAGTTTCAAGGACAGGTAACAGAGCAAGGAGAAATGATGTAAGATTTTATAAATCTTGTGTTACCCTTTGTGTTTGAGATCTTGGCAGACTTCTGAAACGGTGAGCATTTTTACACGAGATTTAGAGCAGTGTGTATGAATACTCAGTTTTTACATGGGGCATAAGACAGTGTGCCATGCTGCCTGGATACCGCAGTAGTTGTGGAGCCAGATGTTTGATGTTTGATTCTCCTCTGGGCTTCCTGATAAAAGAGTCAGCCTGTGTGACCTTTGGCAAGCTGCACAGTCCCAAGATGCCCTGGAAGGGAATGGGAAACTATTTTGCGTGTTCTGTACCTGTAAAGCACATGATGATGATGATGATGATGATGATGATGATGATGATGATGATGATGATGATGATGATGATCAGACAAAGAAGTGCATATGAGCAAGTAGGCCAGCATTTTCTTCCTCTCCCCAAATAGTGCATGAAAGCAATCAGAATGGCAGTAGCTATATCATCTCCCTCATGCTCCCCACCGTCTCTTCTCCTGAATAGATTTCCCTGGGAATGATTTGTTTCTGTATGAATTAAATCACCATTCCCTTTTGACCTTTTGCAGCTCAGACCTTAGAGCTAACCTGCACCTTGGGGTTAACATTATTAACCTGTTAATTGGTGCCTTCCTGGGGCCCTCGGCCAGACAGAATGATGCTCCTTTGCTGTTAACTCGGTAATGCTGGAAATAATTTCTGCAGTAAGCAGGTCTGCTCATTTCTCCTTCTGACATGTTCCCGTTTCATCTGGTCCAGCTATACCTTTCAGAAAGTGTGCTAGCGCTAGGAATAGCTGTGCTTATGGGCTTCAAGCAGTGTAAACGGGAGACTTTTGGTTCCCTTTGGAAGAATTTGCCAACATTCATAGGCTTCATATTTTAGAATAGAAGGGACTTGAGGTTGAATGTGGGAGAAAACCAAAGTAACAGATTTTCTCCTCCTTCCAGCTGATTGTGTATTGGTGTTTTGGTTATCCCTGGAGGACTACATTGGAACAAAACTGCCAAAATCGGAGTAATGCTGCCGACCGTCATACATGTGTAACATTTGGCCATATTGGGAGGCAAAAGGGTGTCTCCCATTTTTAAAATAGACACCCAGCTTTGATGTTTTCCGTAAGAGAAACACCGGGTGATTTTCCTGTCACTTTCTTTGTCTAGACTAAGTAGGCAAGACTGCCCGTGGAATGTTCTTTTGCCATATGTTTTAGCGTTGAATTTATTGACAATTTCCTGTTGGGAGTGTCCCATGTCACTCTTTCCTGCTGCTGTGAAATACAGGTCCCTTGCTCTTGTAAAATGTCTTGCCATTTTAGTTGGCAGTGCCCTAAATAGCTTGAAGGCACCATACAAGGTCCCACCTTCTGGCTTATTCATTCCTACTCCTGAATGACTTCATGGAACCAACATGAAAGCAGTGATCCAGATGGGTTTGGGAAGAAAAGTTTCCTTCCTGTTTTGTTTTTTTCAAAACCTCAGGTGGGCAAGGTGTTGTCACGCTGCAGCTCCATGTACATAGTGCAGTCTCTCGCTCTTTCTAGTTTGCCAGTCCTGGTAACGTCCTCTTTAGAAATAGATATTTCTAGCATTTTTCTTTTAATGTTTTCATACCATGGATAAGTGAGCCAACCGATACTGATCCTGCAGATAAGGGGGAACTACTGTATGAACAATCAAAAACTAATTAAATGTCAAGACAATCAGACTGTTTTTAACCAGAAGCTGTCCAAGCTTGAGATGTGTGCACAAATTCTTCCTCAACTTCAGCCGTTGTCCAGGGGGTCAGTGTCCATGAAATGAGTGGGTGCAGTGCTGTTGTACTGTAGCGCTTAAGTTTTCTTTTTTGCTTTGGGAGTTCAGGAATGTCTAATTCAGGACTCTCCTTCTTCATTCTTTCCTTCACTATAGGATTTCTTGATGGAAACTTTTATCATGTTCAAGGATCTGATTGGAAAGAACGTCTATGCAAGTGACTGGATGGTGATGAACATGATGCAGTGCAGGTAAAGGGTCTCTTAACTAAACTCAAGATGGGAGCATGGAATTTTAGTTTGTATGTATATATGTGTTTGTGTGTCTGTTACAAATAATGCATCGATCCATAGCTGTTGCTTCAGATTCATAGAAGCCAATAAATATGGCCACATTTGGAATGCTCTGCTTGGTTCTGGTTGTTACACCTCCAGAAATGATCTTGTAGAACTGCGGCAGAACAGGACAATCTAAGATGAACAGAACCTACAGCATCTCCCCATGGGGAAAGGCTGCAGCTTTGCTTCCTCTTTAGCTCAGAGTTGGAAAAAGCTGGAAAAAGGCAAATAACAGATAGATCTTTGGTCTTGTATACTTTTTCTCTCCTTACATTCTTAGATGTGCTTAAAAATTAGATGTCAACACAAACATTATTTTATATTTTTCAGCTGTTTGCTGCAGTTTTAGCCTTCTTCCCTTAACCATGTTTTGAGTCATGAAAACCACTTATTTCTTTCTTTCTTTCTTTCTTTCTTTCTTTCTTTCTTTCTTTCTTTCTTTCTTTCTTTCTTTATTTA